AACCTTTCGACGAGGGAGGGACAAAGAGGTGTTGTGCGTGGGAAACGATTGATCAGATTTTTCGAAGAAAAGATCGTAAGAATGGAATCGCGTGCATGATGTATATATATATAGATATACAAGAAGTATCGATCAAGTACGTAATACTGGTGTAACATTGGAAAATTTGTATGTAAATATAGGGAACAAAACTATATAATAATAAATTATAGACGCATATTTATACACGCATAGGTATATACACGCGTTCCCTCGTGTCCATGCCCGTGCTTGCACGCGATCGTTGTTATCAAAAGCGATAAAGTTAGAAAATTAATTTGAATTTTACTCTTCTATCTCTTCTTTACCCTTCAATTATTTCGTAATGTTTTACCGAAGGTTGGTAAAAAAAAATGCGTTTTTATCCGGTATCACAAAAAAAAAAAAGAAAAAAAATATGGCTTATATTAATAAATCGAGAGGACGAGCGACGAATCGCAGCAATAGTTGTATAAAATACAATCGATTAGAGTTAAGTGCGAGAGGTTAGAAGATTTTTTGACCGTAACACTCTTCTCCAACGTTGCTCTAGATCCACAGACACTCGAAGACACGTACCTATCTATTTATGATAAATTACATAACTGTAAATAATATTCGTATACGTTTAGGGTAGAAAGTGCGATGCGAGGATAACGTCATATTATGTCGCAACAAGTTCCTAAAATAAATCACAAATAGAAGAATAAAACGTATGGACTTTGTTTATTCCTTGTTCATTTTTCAAAATCTCGTTCGATGCATCGCAAAACAAAAATGAATCGCATTGAAAATTAATTTCATTATTCACGTAATTGATACAATATTTTCAAAAATTATGCTTTTAGGTGTATCGTGTCTCTACTCGTCGTTAAATTCTATATACGTGCATTATGTATTTTATATGTGTTTTACATAAGCGAATCTTTATTTCTGTAAAAGAAGAAGAAGAAAAAAAAAAAAAAAACTATGAAAATATGTACTACCCATTCAAAGAAGACACGATCATATGTTTCCCACTACGGTTCCCGCACGTAAACGAAGAATCATCAGTATTTATGATATGCTAATTTCCCGTTACAAATTCCGCGATGTTTCGCGGATGACTGCTCTTACCGGCTACAGCCAGTGGAAAAACCATCCGTTTGGAAAACCAGTCGTCAACGAAGGAATGGAAAGGAGCAAGAGAGAAGAGAAACTTGGCTAGATATAGGTATCGTTTTTAAATAAAATAGAGATCGGTTTCATGACAGCATTTTCAGAAATCGGTGTTAAATGGGAATTACTGTTGATTCGAATCGAGAAAATTTGATGATAGATATTTAAGTAAGTACATATCCATATACGCAGTACATATACATATACGTAAGTAATTATGTAGGTGTGGTATGGTATATGTATTGTGTGATAAAGATCGTTTCTTCTTCGTATTCTTTTTTACAAAATGTAGAGATATATCTAAAAGAAGTAAAGAAAAATTTGAAGGATTAGAATAAAAAGTTTTAGTATGTACAATTTCCTATTTCCTTATTTCTTTTTTTTTTTTTTGACACAGCTTTAGATTCACCGATTCTCTCAAGACATACATCTAAATGTGACAAAAAATATCGAAGGAAAGATGGATTTGTGCCAAGATACTTTAAAATCTGCTAACTAACTGAATTCTCTGGCAGAAACAGCAATGTCTTGAATCTATTATGGTTAAGTATTATAAAAAGTAATATTTAATAATAAATATTTTTATTTGCACTTTTTCTTCCTCTTCTCTCTCTTCCTCTTTCTCTCTCATTTTATTATTCAATATAAAATTTACGTAAAGGAAATGCGTAAGTATTTGTACATTTTGTAAGATTTTTATATATATATATATATATAAAATATACATACATATACGTATTGTTATTATCAGATCCAATAGCGCGTTAGAGAATCGTAGACGATGAAAATCTTACTCTATCCAAGTTAAGGATTACGACGGTCGCGGGGTGTTTGGTGGGACTAACTAGAGGGTGGCGCAAGAGTGGAGCGTGCAGACGAGAGCAGAGGCGGGGCACTCATGTTTATATGCATTGTATTGCTAAAACCCTTTTAACCGAATTACATTTAGCGATTCTAGTGCCGCTTTCCCGGCTCTCCTTCTCCCGAGTCTACC